TCTTCGATTAGATATTGATCCCTATTTATGGTTTTATTTGCAAGTATCCATGAATAAGAAGTTTGACTGCAACTGTTCAGAACGACAATCCTCAGATATATTCTTGATATTCATTCTCTGGTTCAATGTGACATGTAAAACTATATCCAACAGTCGAAGTGAGACCGAAGGGATCAAGTCCACGTTCGAGTAGTATCGAAATAGTCACCATCCGGTGACTGGTAATTGGCAATTGGTGGAGTCAGTCCTGGTCCATGAACAACTACATGCACTGGCGAGGAAACTGGCTCGACGGCCTGTAATTGAAGCTATCATGAACACTTTTAAGACCAAAATCTCAAAGTAGCAGAGCGACAGATGGACGAAAGAGGAGCGTCGTTGTTTCTATACCTTTGAATTCAGACAACTGGAGCTGCTGTCAGCCAGATGTGCAGGGTGATCCACAGAGAGGTCGATAGTACTGGTACTTTTGTGCCATTCAATGGTTCATTTTCTCTGTTAGGGCTGTTTTCAGATGGAAATTTATAAGAACATGATCCAGTGCTGGGATACGATGCTTTCCACATGTCAGCAATGATAAAGTAGTAACAAAACAAGCATTTTGGAAAATTGGAACAAGTAATTAAAATATGATGAATCGTAGTTTTCAGCGGGATCTTTGCTTTACTATTTTTCAGCACGGTTATTTCAGACATGGAAACGGCACTTCGCCTGTTTTAAGTTTAAGAAAGATGACAGCAATCTGAACCCACGTCAGTAGCCATGCTCTAAATTTCTTGTGCATGCCACGCACCTTCCACACGTACCACATCCTAATGTGGCGTCTACACACACTATTGAAACTAGGTGAACGGTTTTTATGCTATTTTCGTTACTAGGTCCTAAAACTTGGAGAAAAAACTCATACATCACTCTACCCAGGCAGGGATAGCTGAGTGGTTAAGAGTAGGCTCATGTCTGCACTCAGAAAGACCATGAATTCGATCGCTGCCAAGGCTGCCTTAACTGCAAAAATGGTGTCAGTATCAGCGTTTGCTTCACATTAAAAAAATCATTAAAGAGGACTCGTTGAAATAAGACGGGCCTGAGAGAGGGAGGTAAAGCAAACAGCTCCTGCACACTGTAAATGAGAGAGCAGCTTCTGCGGTGATACGAGCACGTACTGATAAGGCACTAGAATCATCCGGAATAGGCAAAATCGGAATCTCAGGCTCAACGGTAGCGAAAACGAGGAGCCCACAGAAGAGGTGACGGGACGTCATTAAGAAGAATCTCGCCGAAACTGCAGCAAGATGCCGTAGTTTGAAGAAGGTGGAGACGGCTGACAACATCAGCAGACCCTGCGGACCCGGCGCGGATGAAGGCTCGGGATAGTAAGAGAAAGTGACTGATATGTCACATTATCGTCATCTATCGAGTAAAAGAAAAATAAATCAAGAGAAAAGCAAGAGAAGGAAAGAATAGTTTGGAGAGAAGCGATGTAGATGGGTAGGTATTATCACAAAGACGATTTTTCCGAAACTAAGGCGCACGGCCATTCGATGTCAAGACAAGTTCAAGCCAAAACGATGGTCTCGGTCATGATTTGAACATGAATAAGTACACCTTGACAACCGTGCTAATCAATAAGAGCCATAGTTGAATTCTTGATTGCAGGAGCTTAATCACCCCATTTCCTAGCCAGCCGACGCAGGTACAGCTATTAAGATATTACGTACGAACTTACTTTTTCATATAATACCGGATCGATGAGCTTCAACTCCTGCAATGCTTTCCTTTGTGCTTTGATGACCATTCGAACCCACGCGTCGTCCTTCTTTTGCAACTCGTTGCGGCTGCGTGTATACTGCTATAAACAAAACTGCGATGTGAAACTGTGACAAGAATAAATGTGAAAAAGAATTGAACAGAACAATTGATGCCAAATATTCTTAAAGTATTTTTAGAACTTATACTGCGATGGCAATACTGCGATCAACCTATAGCCTACAAAATTCTATTTCATTTGATGATCCCATACTTGTCGCTAATCTGACATCTAATCTCATACCAACAGAAAATAAGCAGGTACTAAAACTAATGCCAGTAAGAAGAACGCCTCTAAAAAGTGAAAACGAAAAGGACCTCGTCCAATACTGCTATTCCGCTACCTTGGATTGCTTTCAAATCCCTGACAAAATCTCATCAATAAAGAAGCGATATAATGATATACAGGTTGAAAGAACACATTATCGCCCTGGAGATTCTCGAGTTTCAAATAAACTAGATAGGAAAAAACTTGAACATATTACAGCATCAACGTTGAACATTATCACTATTGAAAACACTAACATACCTTCGCAGAGACCGCTCGTTCGTCGATCTGATCCTCTGTCAGAACGGTAGGTTCACGGTATCGTTCACTGTAACGCAAAATGTGAGTAAAACATCGACTATAACATTCCTATTTTAGTCAGTCAACCACTAAACTTCTTAATGTCTGAGAACAAGGGAGAACAAACAGCCATTCACTGAACAACAATCTGTTCACCTAATATTTTTAGCAGATTTCACATCCAGCGTTAACTCATCAACTGGCTTTGGTTTCTTACTGTGCTTCTGCATTTGTCTGATTTCCTTCTCGAGCCGTTTTCTTCTACGGATTTCGCGTTGCTTCGCTACCTAGAAAATGTAATGAGTTCCTCCAGAGGACAACAAATCACAGTACAACACATCATGGAGTGCACAAAAAAGAATTTGACTGTAAGACAAATAACTTCCTCAGTAGCACAGTGATCATGCAGATTACAGGGGTTCCCTTGAATGGAGAATGTTATATCCCATGATATTTTTCAACTATACTTGGATATTAATCCGAAGAAATCTCAAATTCACTTCGAACCTGACGTGGGATAGGAAAGGTATGGGGAATGTGACATAGTACGAACCCATGTCNAAAGTCAATTCAAAAAACGTAAGTTTTTTGTTCTTTACAGAAAACTTTCTCTCAGGTGAGCATGTAAGCAGTAAGTTTTCAAACAACAACAACAATTAGGAAAACAAAGCATAAAGTTTGGAACTGCAAAAACGTTAGGCTCTCACCTCGGGGTCAATCTTTTTCTGCCTTTTCATAAACACAGAACATTGTAGTGGAGTTGTACTGATTCCTCGAAATGAATGCAGTGATACAGAAAGCCGTGAAAGGGAAGCAGATAATGAGTTCATCTGAAAAACTGACTCAGTTACATTGGAAGATAGAAGTTTGGCAAACACGCGGTAATGAAAAAAAGCGAAGTTCCATCCAACTCTGGAAAAAATCATCACTGAATGGAATGTCAATTTCTAGCCACTGCTTATAAGAAAATAAGAATAGAGGTAACGCAAGTGCGAAACAATGTAGCAAATTTTCTACTTACTGTAACACGCAAACTTAGTTGGTGAAATTGCAGACATCGTTAAGCACTGCTATAAATTCTATACAGACTTTCTTAATAAGCTTTAATCCTTCATTCATTAGTTTTTATTTACAAAAATATAATTAGATGAAAAAGTAGGCGTCTATAGCCAAAAATCCTGGGTGGTTTTAAAAAAAGAAAGAGGATAGCGAAAGGTAAATCGCTGTTTGTTGCATTAGGATTACCTAGGAACTGAAACTCGAATCTAAATCAGTTATTCGATCAACTGATTTATAGAAAACGATTAGTGTGGCATGAATGGCAAGAAAAATGAAAGCGATGCAAATGCTCTTCAGAATGCCGCACCGATGAACGATGCTCCAAAGAACATTGGTAAGTGGGCAGAACTCTATTCGTTGCTTTGCAATCATTGTACGTTTGGACTACTGTACAAAGAAAAGCTCATGTAAATTGTATCATCTGCTTAGGAACTGGAGCAAAAAGGCCAGGCCGACCTCGAAGGGTTACAAGAGATCAGGTACCTGCTGATGGCGAAGTGAGTTAAGTTAGTTGTTACGACCTAGTAGTGTAAATGTAGTTAAGGGCGTGGGGAGGACCGCTCTTGCCCAACAGTGAGCGCTAAAACGCAGAAAATGAGATATTGAAACAATATTTACTTATGCTCAGAGTTGGTTCTTACCTGAGGAATACAGTTTTGGTCTGAGCCCAAGGAGGGAACGAGCAAAGGGATGGGTAAGATCATTCTGGGCAAAAGGTCGGGATCACATTTTTGATCATTCAGCTATCGTGCTCAAAGCATGGCAACCATATTCGGGATCCTAATGCTGCGCTTAACAGAAGAGCTTGTCTTCCTGGCGGGGTCAAGGTGTTAACTTCATAAACATTCTGTTCATTGAAGCCTTCTCCTTTCAGGAATGTTCTGTATCAGATCAGCTGTCGAAAAGACCTTCACGATCTGCAAGAGGAAGTCTGCCTATTGAGTGAGTGTTTTGCGAGGTCCCACTTCACATAATCCCTGATTTTATTCACTACAATATTGGAACCAAACTTTGTTGGGCTTTCAGTTTCTATTAAACAATGGGGAAATAGATGCATCACCTCGTAACTAGAACATTTGTTCGATAACATAATCCATGAAACTAATATGGGAGAAGTTGCTTTGATCCCCCTTATTCCAAGTTCTTGTCTCCAACATTCAATGTAAAATAGGGCCCTGTTCAGCGACCAGATCTCCTGTGGCCTGTCTTCGAATACCCGAACTCATGTTCTTGCGTGAAATCACCTTCATCCAAATTTTCAGCGACGATGGTGCCCATTACTATCCATGTCCGGTTCCGTCCTGTGACTACAACAGTGAAAGCCGTTCAGCAAGAAATTACCACTTGAGAGTAGATCATGCAGGATACGCATATCAAAACGCAACTCACGAAATCCCTGAGTCTAGTACATCTTCAAGTGATCGCAAGGTCTGAAAGTTACTTGATAATTATGCGACTCCAATGACAAGCCATATTGCAGTCTTTGAGTTGTTTATGTTACTTACCGATATTCCAATCGATTCTTACATCGAAGTTCGTGACAACAGGGCTATAATTTAGAACTCTAACGCCTATGAAGTACAAAAGGGATCATCCGCTGCGAAATCCAGCGGGATTCGAGCAGCAGTAAAGTTAGAGAATGAGGTTGGTATTTACTATCCACCCTTAGTCAGATTGCGAATGGTATGACAAGGCCTTTCTACAGTTTGACGGTACGAGTGAGATGTCCGCCGATATGTCTCGTGAACCTCGCTCGCAGTTGGAGTCCATGCATGGTTACCACGTTCCATCTAGCGACGCCTATTCGGAAACGGACGCGGACTGTGATTTAGATCTGGATGTTGAAGACTACGAGTTAACACAATACAGACGTGATGAGGTATGTCTGCTTTTGTTTTTTTTTTTTTTATTTTGATACTTTACACCTTCGTATTCATATTCCGTCTCATTTTACGTATTGATAACACCTTTTATTTTACTTTTTTAGCACTACTCTGAGGTGAAGTATGATAGTGACTTTCGTCCGGCACCTCATATGACTCGTAAAAGAGGCCGACCACGAAATCCACCAGGCACCGTGAGTGTTCTGAAACCTACTGCTCTTACGTTTACATCCAGCTTCCCTCTGTTCTCCAGGAACCAGCTGAAAACTCGAAAGTACGTGTAAGTGATCCCAATGGAAAATATCGGTGCTATATGCCAAATTNTTTTTTTTTTTTTTTATTTTGATACTTTACACCTTCGTATTCATATTCCGTCTCATTTTACGTATTGATAACACCTTTTATTTTACTTTTTTAGCACTACTCTGAGGTGAAGTATGATAGTGACTTTCGTCCGGCACCTCATATGACTCGTAAAAGAGGCCGACCACGAAATCCACCAGGCACCGTGAGTGTTCTGAAACCTTCTACTTTTTCCGTTTACGTTAAGCTTCCCTCTGTTCTCCAGGAACCAGCTGAAAACTCGAAAGTACGTGTAAGTGATCCCAATGGAAAATATCGGTGCTATATGCCAAATTGTGATTGGAGAGGAGCATATCGGTCGCTGAGATGTGATCACATGAAGTGGTGCCACAAGGACTGGGTTATGCCTCCGCGTTACATCCTACAGGTAACGTGACATCGAAAATATGGTCCATAACTTTTAATCACATCACCGTTTTCGTTGACTCTTGAATCTTGAATATTGAACTTGAATTTTGCAAGCCTCGAAAATCAATCTTTGCTCTTTTTTGGACATTAAAATAGTAATCATTTCATTATATATAATGAGAAAACCTTTATTGAGTAACTCTATGTGCCCTATGCTTTTCCAAGATTTACTATTACTGTCAAAACGCGGGAAGTGATTCAGAAATCACAAATCGTTTCAAAGCTGGGTTTAAAAATCATATGGATACTTTCAGCGCATCACGAAGGATGGCATATATATTGATCCCAAAACCTTCGTGCCTCCATTTTCCTGCCCGATCGAGGGCTGTCAGTGGCGAGGAAGCTATAGGTGTTTTTTTTGTCAGGCTCGACAACTATCTCCGGCCACAGATTTTCGTTTTTCAGAGCATCTCGTTCTCAACACATCAAAAGTGCCCATCCAGACTATGTACCTCCGAAGAAGAAAGCTCCCATTGTAAGTTATTCCGTCTTAGTAGTAGTCGTCGTAGATTCACGTGTTAAAGTGCTTAGAGTTTGGCGCGATCAGAAATATAACTAGAGTATTATACGAGTTTTTGGACAATATTCGCTTCATTCCCCCTCAGACAAGACAAACGAAAACATTTCGACTTGCAATAATAATAGTTGAGTAAGCTTAGCATCAGCTTTTCAGTAGCCCGCTTAGTGGGTATCAGCAAAAGCTGATCTTATTTACACTCACGTAGACCTGACTTTAAACGTTCAGGGTGGTTATGTTCCGGATGGGAAATATGTTTGCCATGTGCCTCAGTGCCCGTGGCGTGGCATTTCCCGATCAACTCGTGCGAGCCATATGAGGAAAGTTCACGGCGGATTTAGCAATCCTGGATATTCGACGAGACAGGTTTATAATTTACGTCTTCTTGTCAAACGTTCCCTATCAGAGACTCTCTCGTTGAGAATGAAGTGAGTCACAGCACATCTTTTAGGTCGCGTGTTGTGATTGCACCGCAAGTTTCGGTTCTCACAAGGCTTTTGTTGATCACATGATTACTGCGCATCGGGTTGGTGGTCTAGTCCACCGTGATTTTAACGACATTGGAGAGTATGAGGTGAGACCATCTTTCCAAACATACTTTACACCGAAATTCAATGGTCATAATGATCTGTACAAGGAGTGCATGCATTATTAAGGAGTGGTTCAACTCGGTACAGGAAGTATTCTCTATTACTTATGTGAAACGTATGGGAATTAAGCAGGGCAATGAATATCAGGTAAGTTGTGGATCGTCCCAAACAAATGGAAGTAATTCAGAAAGTGCACAACAATTGTTTCTAAATTTAGATTTTGAAAGACTACAATTTTTGTTAAGGTGCTCTATCTATACTGTGCTCGTAGCGGTGGAGCTCGCCCTAAACATATACCTGGCCGAGATTATTTTCCCGAGTTCACAAAGCGCCGTCTCACTCGCCGTCCTACAAAGTGTGGTCGCAATTGTGCGGCCTTTCTTCGAGTATGTATTCATCAATGATTGCTATAACTTCCAATCATAAATCCATGTATGAGGTTGTAGATAATTCACTGGATTGACGGCCGCTTAACAGTCATAGGATGTGTGGAACATACAGGTCATCGGATGGGTACAGCACTGTTGAGGTTGAGTTCTAACGAGCGAGTTGTGTTAGATGAATATCTTTATGTTGTTGACGACAAAGTCCCACTGGATGCCATGCTGGACCGTATAAGAGGTAATTATTCGACTACTTATCATCTTCTCGACACTTATTTGCCAAGGACTGAGTTCTTCATAATATCTTTTCATCAAATGAAGGTTTATTTTCTTCAGAAATAGAAGGCTTCACTATGGATGGGTTTGATGTTGCCGAACGCAGTATAGAGGATATGACGAGATATGTGATGAATGAGAACGAATTTATCTCTTTAAAAGTGCTATTTGAGGTAAGAAGTATTTGGCATTACTTGCTGAGCCTTCTCCCTGCTTTCTTTTCCGCAAGGGAGCAAAAGGTCTCACCTAGTCTCATCGCTCTTGTTTTAACTGTTCTTTCTCTATTACCTTATCGGAAACAGCTTAGTTGTGTGATGTGTTGGCTTGAGAGCGCTTGAGGACTTTTCTCTGAAAATGTTTCTTTCAGACCTCGGCATTTTTCGAGCCAGAGTCCACATTCGCTGTGAATTTGTTCGACAGTGAAGGAAGGCCACTTACCGAAGCTATATCATTTGGTGAGTGCTTGTCACAGTTCTTTGCGCTACCATTTGTCACATTTCTCCCCGCCTAAGTATCCTTTTCAGGTATCATGACATCGCAAATGCGTGAATTATGGGCAACTTGTTCTACCCGAGCAGCATGTATCGAGGAGGTTAGCTGCACGGATGGATGTGCACCCACAGGATTTCCTTCCTTCCATCTAGTCGTTGAATTCAAAAAGGGCACAGGTGTACATTGCAGGTCAACCTGTTGATAAGCGATTTTGAGCTGCATTTATTCTTTGTGATGGTATTCGATGCAAACGATATGCCGCGGTGTGCATGTGTTTTGATTTCTCGGAACAGTGACAAAGTCGCTCTCCTCGACAAGTTGCGATCAGTGTAAGCTTTTTACGATACCTTTTCTGTTTCCTTAGTATACAACTTCTTTCTTTCGTGAACCTTCAAGTGAATTGTCGCAGTCATTTTGCGTTCAGCTCGAGTGCCCCGGTTGACACAGTGGTGACTGACTGCTCTCCGGATTGGCCTGCCTTGCTCGATGCCTACTTCGGTAACGAGGCCTATACTGCTGACTTCCAAGTGAGTCAAATTTTTATGTTTTGAACCTTGTCGTTTTTGTTTCACAGAAATATGGATTCTGTTTGACAGATTGCTGAATGGCATCTCCTTTCCGATTGGGCCACTAGAATTGATGAAATGGTGTCGAATAGAGTGGATCGGTTTACCATCCTCTGTGCATTGCGACGTTGGACACGGTAATTTACATCCTTGTCTAGGACTGGAGTTAACTCATTAGTGCATTATGTACTCTACTATATTAAGAGCGACGGATCCCACGTTGTTCGAAGAAATCGTAATCGACATATTTGAAGCGTTCCGTGAAATGGAACTAAACTCATTAGCGCAGCTAGTGGACAATCAACTTACCGATCCTGATTTTGCAAAACGGCACGTTTCCACATTAATCCTTCGGGCAAACAGTAATAATAATAAGGAATGGTTCCAGATGGACCCCTCTCAATCGGAATCCACTGACAGATCACAGCAATCCAGTTCTTGAAATATCCTGCAGGTAATAACAGTTTCGAGGCTGAGCGTTGTGTCACTGTGAAAAGCTTACTGGATTGCTTGAGTGAAGGTGATTCACAAGAATCCCTGTTCTGCTGCCGAACCCGTTTGATTCATTAAAATAGATGTGCTTGAAAGAGTTTTGTATGATTACTACGACAGGATGTTTCGTGAGCGCTTTCTCAACTGCGAACTGTGTGCCCGACTCGATGAGTATGCTGGACTCCTTGTTGATAGGATTGCAGAGTTCAATTCATTAACGGTTCGAAGTTTATTTTCAATTTGCATTGCTCGTTGTCAGATTAAGTTTTTAGTTTTCCGAGGTCTACACTTTGGCGCCCATTGAGCCTCCTCGCCATGTTCCACAAATGTATGAAGATATGTAAGTTTACATTTTATCAAGACAAACACACGCGAGCGTTGCATTTTTGTTCTCTTGCTATTTCTTTCAATTCCTTGTCTTTTTTTATCACATTCTTCTAAAGCTCGCTTTTCGTAAAGCCTATCACCTAATGCTCTCAATACTCTGATTTCCATCAACTCAACTAGCAATTCTGAATTGGCCGGAAATAGCTATCAACTTCAGCTGTGAATTGTTTGAGTAAACACACTGAGGAAAAATGAACATTCGGTTTGGAGCGTGAAGAATGTCCTTATAACGAGTTTTGCTAGTGCATTACACCCCTTACTGACATTTTGATAATTTTTTTATTATTTAGTGATCCTTCGCAACTGCTTGCCGATGGAACAGTAATGAGCTCACCGCAGCGCACTGTAGAGATTGAGTCACACCCATCAGTGTCTTCGAAACGAGTCGATGGATTGATAGAGCTGAGCAGCAAGCGCATGAAAATGGAGGGTGAAGAGGAGGTATGGTAAAATCGCTTTTCTTTTGTAGTTTCGAGTGCTAAGTGGGCATCGTACTTTGGGTGTTCTGGAATTCATCATATGCCTTGTGATGAAGTTATTCTTATTTGATGAACTCTATTTTTAGTTGGGAGCGTACGTCGTTGTTGGTGAAGAGGAAGTTCTCGATGAAGTTGTTGAGGGAGCGGAAGCTGAGCAGGTTACTTTTCATTTCTCTGTTATTGTGGTAGTCCAAGAAAACTTAATATTTTCTAGTTGGTAGAAGAAGCGGTCCTGAGTGGCGCTCTGGGCGATATAGACGAAGGTGTATCGCTGCTTGATCCAAGCGCTGACGGAGGAGCTCGGGATGTCGAAGTCACTGAAAGCAGAAGAAAAGCCAGATTGAAACGAATGATGCAGGTACTTTATGAACTTCTAAACATCTGCGATCCTATTTGTTTTGCCTGTAATGTGTGAGTGATCCAGATTTTACACGAGAAAGTTGATTTGATGGCTGATGATGAAACTATGGAGTTGATGGAGACAGGCTTGACACAAGTTGTGGAGCAACTGAAAGATCCAACTTTGTTAATGCAGGCAAGTTATTCTGATGCACACCTATACTTGCATTTACTACTAGATAGGTCGGCTAAGAATTGTGGTAAGGGATTCCAACGGGACTAAGCCCAAAGACTTCGTCGCGTTGATACGCCCCTTCTGTTCATTACAGTAGATTAAGGTGACTTAGTGATGGCCGCTTACTGAATTCATCTTGAATTTTAGCGACGTCGCTCTTCTCGTCTTTCGAAATCTTTGTCCCAAGACTCTTCATGATGTACGGTTCCACTGCTGTGATCTCACTTTCATGTATTTATTTAGTTTGTAGAGAACCTGCCCAGCTATGAACTGAGTGGCAGTTGATGTTATTATCGTATTTATGTCGTCTGTTTGTTGACTTCCAGTTTTAATAAAATCAGATTTTTTGGTGTTTTTATCATCGATTAAAAGCGGTCGAATATTGGTCCGCATCAGTACCTGCTTGCCTTTTCGCCTTATTTATGTTTTCAGGTTACTTGTAAAATGTTTTTAGATCTCAGTATGTCGGTAGAAACAGTACCACGTGACCTTCGTAATCTTCGTGCTTGTTTGCTGTGCTCTTTGGTGAAGTCGTTAGAGCAGTTCGAAATGGATGGATGTGAAAATTGCGATAGAGTTCTGCATATGAAGGGCGATACTGACAAGGTGTATGAGTGCACGAGGTAAGTGGTTTGATGGGTTATTTACAGATTGAGTGCAGTTTTTCATTCATATATTTTAGTACAAATTTTGATGGGTTGATAGCTTCAATGATGCCCGAGGACTCATGGGTATGCAAGTGGCAGGTATTGTCTATTTTATGAAGTGTTCCTGTTGTATTAATTGTAAAACCTGAAATACCATTCGTTATAGAAGATCAACCGTAAATGTAAAGGAATATATGCGATTTCCGTGTCTGGATCTCTTCCACCGTCTGTGGTATCTGAATTGAAAACCGTTGGAATTCGATATAAACCGGGAATGAGGGATACTGCAACTAAATGAGTGTGTATTGCATATTTTACTTTACGTTTCGTTATTTGTTATTGCTGATGTCGTGCTGCAAGGCTGATTTCAACATCTGAATCGGGCCGGTTCACGAGTTCAGTATCTGATTATCCTTTACGCTATAAGCGCTTTCTTTCCAAGTATAATAAATATTTGGATATAAGTAAAGTGATTTGTAGATTACGGAACTACTCTTAGAAAATTACAAATCCTAAAAGCGCTTACATTCTTTCATGGTAATGAAAGAATGAGTAGANTCTACTCATTCTTTCATTACCATGAAAGAATGTAAGCGCTTTTAGGATTGGCATGGTTCTTGGTATAAAATGTACGAAAGTTCCTCATTAAATAGCCCAAAGTCGGTGAGCGGTGAGCTAAAATCTCTTTGTGAGCGGTCAACGGTTCCTGAATATTTCTGGCTATACCTTTCACGTGACAGCAACCTCATACGATTCTAGTTTTAAATTCACACTGTATTGCATGATAACATCAATCAGCACCATTTATTCTTTATTCTTTTTTTTAAAAGTTTTCTAATGAAGCGTTTATACTTATTTGAAGAGAACAGTAGATAGTTGGCAGTTGAATCGTGAACCCTTCATCATAATACGATCACATTTGATGTGGGTTTCCAGGTGTATAGACGAAAAACTGAGACAAGCAGATTTCAGCATGGAAAGCACCGATTGTGGCAATGAAAATAATCCGTTAGCCATCGTTTCCTCTTTCAATCATGTCTATCAAAATAGCACTTCTTTTGACCAGAATGAAATTGTTTCAATAACGACGGCGAAGGAAAACAATTATGCTTGGCACTTCTAGAATTATTTGGAACACATGGAATCGTCGTCGCTGCCGATTACACATATATTTACATAATGTCTCTGTAATTTTCGTTATGACATTTTCTCAAGAATCGGAATTATTTGGTCGAAATTCGGTCGTCGCCCGGGATCCTCATTCAAGCAAATGTTCATCAATCGACCCATGTTTCTTGCGATTCCCGGAGGAATTTGTACTCTCAGTCCTTCAAGAGCAATCTGAAAGCAAGTAGACCTCTGAATGACCGTGGTAGAAAGTGTTCTAAATTTGCAGTCCACTACCCCGTTGGACATAACCAACGCTCCTAAAAGTGTGACGCGGCACGGTCATAGTATAGCTGCCAGGGATTGACAACCTCTCCGCTAGCCACGTCCTCCCCATATTTAAAGAAGCAAGTAAGAGGAGAAACGATTGAACGCCCCTTCCACGTCGCAGCAATCAGTCATCATCTTTAGCGATCGAGAGTAAAACCAAGCTCAGGTGACAGAAAAGTCGAAAATTTTCGTCAAATCCCAAAGCAAATTCAAACCTAATTTAAATAATCATAATCACCTTCATGCCGCATTCCATTGGTGATAGTTCAGCAAATGGCACTTCTCGTGTGTTGAGTTCCCACAAAAGAATACCAAAACTCCACATATCGGCCGCCCGAATATTCAAGTCTTCTGGATCCCTTTGGAGAGCTGGAAAAGGAGGAGTTTGCCTTCATGAGGACTTGAACGGAAATCAATTTGGCAGTTCACACCTTCAGGGCTCATCCAAGCGGGTGAGTACACTCGCCCAACTTCTTGGAACGAGAACTTTGTGTCGGCCATCGACAATTTGGCAGTCAATTCCTCGTCGACAACGACATGTTTTGATGATAAATAATATCTGAAACGTTTGGTTGATTATCAGTTGATCGAGACATATTCTAGCAAGGAAGTCGTAGGAACTCCTTCTGGACACTGGCACCCAAAGTTGTTTTAGATTTCAATTACGCTGTGGATCGCAAATTACCTCAGTATAGCAGGATCAAGACTGTGTAGATACGACATTCCTCGGGCGATATCCACAGCAAAACGAACTGCCTGACTATGATCAATGACGACGGCTTAAAAACATCTCATCAATCTCCCTGAGCTCACGCTCAATCTTTCTTTGATTCGATACTGATGCGGTACTCACAGCTCTGTTCGTGCAACACGTTATATAGGCTTCCGAATGGCATGAATTGACTAATGACAACGAGGTTAGGAGGTTGGTTGGCGGCTGCCAGCACTGGGCAGATGTTGGCGTGGGCAAAAATCCTGAACAGCTTCTATCACAAACGGAATTTTTTCACAGAACTATGAGGTGACCGGAATTAAGTCTTTCATGAAATGTTACGTTTTCAAATTTTACACGAACAGTGAATATTTCCCTCAAAAACTTACTCAATCACACCAAGTAACATGGTAATCAAAAATTATCGCTCGCCTGAGAGAGGGGAACTCAGTCTGGAAATCGCGAGAGATTCGCGGTGTCACTTCTGGCACGGCCAAGATACGGGCCACGATGTCGTTACCCTGCCATTTTCCGCGCCAAAGTTCGCCCGAGTGAGATTCAGCCACCTGGATAGTGAACATTCTCTACCCGTTCGGAAACGTTCTATGTCTTAGGAAAGCTGCTAACCTTAGTGATCAAATTCAAGGAAGTGACATCTACTCCGGTGTATCTGGACAGAGTCGCATCTCTGGTACGGGATTTTGTGCCCTTCCAAGTCTGATCTTTGAACGGAATCCGCTCGTTCGGGTTTTGGCCATTTTCCATTGCGATTTCTGGAACGAAATACATTTAGGTTCGTATGATAGATGTGTTGAAGAAGATTGGAAATGGAGCCCAAAGTTGAGCAAGAATTTTGATGTGCATTACGTCGCGGATTCTAATCCAAATTTAATTAAAGAGAAAGATGAAAAGAAGAGCTATGCTCAGTCACCTAGCTTTTTATACACTAAAAATAAGGGCTCTTAGATTCTCGGGGAAAGCAAAATGAGGCCAAAATGGTTCGGCAGGGAAAACAAACTTTTATGGCTATACTTTCTCACTCATCACATGGTTAACAGTAGCGAATTTCTGTTTTGCTCACCGGCTATTGCTTGTCGTGACGGCCCCTGGCAGACATCCATAGGCGTCTGACCCCGTTTGTTGCAAGCTCCAATCTGCGCACCTGATATGATCAGATCCTGCAAAGCCTTTCTTTATTGCTGCAGAATCATGCTGAAGCTATAGACACTTGCTATGGAAGTGCAGTTTCACAAATTCGTCCTCTCAATTTCACTTGAGAAGATGAACCTGATAATCGTCATTAAGTAATCCGAACAATTGAAGGTACCTATTTTATATAAAAAAGTGAAAACAGTGGAATATACTGCATAATAATACCTCTGCAATTTGTTCAAAACCCCAGTAACAGGCGTAGTGTAGAGGAGTCATTCCATGTTCGTTCGTGGCATGAACATCGGCTTTTCGAGCCAGTAACTTCTAAACAGCTTCACTTTAATTGAGTTTTGTAAGAAGAATAAAAAAACACGCTGTTCTATCGATACACCCCAGTAGAACATGAGCCACAATTTTGAGTGAACACGTTGTTATTATTTCCAAGATCGGCCGACGGATAGTCTAGGCCACAACAACGATGTACCAGAAGCCTCATTAACTCAACCACACTTGATTTCCATCGCGAAATAGAACGACCTACTCCAAAAGGAACGCTGTTATGCTTGACAAGATACTCTCTAGGAATGATTAAGCAAAATTAGATGTCCAGAAATCCGTCATTAAGCGTGTATGATTAAATTGAGGTAATATAAGCATGTTTAACAGAATTGACTGCTCTAAGAAAAACTTCTAGGGGGGGGGTGAGGTCAAAAAAAAAACTGAAGTCCGATTAGGTTCGAAATCCAGCTGACTAGCCTGAGTTCCATCAAAATAAAAATTATGCGAAAGATTGTCTCCTGAGAAAGTAACCTGTACTAACCACAACAATCGGCCGATGACCATGGGCTGCGGCCAAATGGAGACTGGTGTCGTCGCCCATGTTGGTAGCGTTCACTCGTGCTCCTCTCGATAAAAGCATTTCAGCAATCGAGACATGTCCTTCTTTGGCGGCCCAGTGAAGCAACGAAAACGCGTGGTCATCACTGAATGGTCATAAATATGAAAATTTTTTGGAAAAAAGGTATAGCTCCAATTCAATGAGCAATCTTTCAGTCTCATATAGTAACACTAGTAGAGACAACCAAGTGGATAATTTATAACAAATAGCTGTAAAATCTGAACACTTGCAATCATATAACTTATACTTGTACGGCTTTAGTTGTTCTACCATCATGATCACTAATACTGACTATTTCTAATCATTTATCATGTTCAAAAAGAAACAAGCGAAAAAAGAAACAGTTCTCGAGGATAACAAAGGTCTGAGTAACTTCAGCCCCCGTAACAACGAATTATGTTACGAACCCGTCAAAACACCGAACTCTAAAAAGAATGGGTGACTAATTTTCATGGGTGCATAGTTAGATGGAACAGTGTAGAGCTTCTGAGCTCTTACATTACAACAATCTCGGCGGCAGGGTAGGAATGAGATAAAGTAGGGCTACATAACTTCAAGGAAAGAAAAAAACGCATGTTAAACTCGACCTTTGCTGACATTCCCTCACGATGATTCATATAAACTTTTCCTATTACACTATCAATATCGAATTAATTGAGCAGCAACATGAAGCAAAGCGAAAGAAGCGTTCGATTAAATGAGCGAATAATTAAATTAAGACACTTTATAAAAGATATTCTGCGGAATTCAAGTCTAAATGTCGCTTTGGAACCAAAAACAATGGACAGATGATTGTTAGATCGAATGTACTTCCACAGCTCAGCATAAAAACCGGGGAAAAGTATAGTCAATGACGACCCCTTCCCCTTCTCCTTTTTTAAAAGACTAACGTCGTTCTTAAGTTTGACGCATTCAGGATACTGATAGTACGATCACAACTCGCAATCTGTCCTATAATAATAATTAAGAATCGAGTTGTGCATGCGCTTCAGGATACGTTTGCTAAGGATCTGAGTAAGACAATATTGTTGTGTTGGCTGTCAAGAAGGTGACACAGCCGGGCTAGAAAGAGTATCTACTATTGATAACAAAATAGACAGAAGTAGTGTTCAATCGTCTGGGGATAAAATATTGAGGAATAGGAAAGGAATATATGAGGTTCAATTCGTTGTTAGTTCAACAGAGTTCCAATTGATGGAAAACAAAAATTAAAACCCATAGACTTACCCGACATTCAAGTCATGCTCATGATCGTCAAGCCAGACTCGAACTTGGAACGCGTTGCCCTCACGGACCCAACCGAATACGTCCTCCATGATGATGGGCACATTTGGTTTGTGCTCATGATAATGTGATGAGAGAGCCATTGTCGGTGCTCGATAGACGCCTTCACGGCGTCTTCAACGGATCTTCGCCTTCTCTGAAAACCATCATGCAGGTGATGGACTACTGAGGAAGAGATCTAATATGACGACACGGAAAAGGCTCTATCAGAGTAAACACTGCAGTTCACTCCAAAACATATCTTCAAGATTATCCTCCCAAAACTCAGAACGGAACAGTCATATCATGTTAAATAGTCGTTGAAGAAGATAGCTCTACCCTTTTACGTACGATTTTTTTACCACATAAACAATCATTCCCTCTGTACACAAAATTGACCCTGGAATCGGCGACTGAACAGGAAGGCGACTTTTATTTCGTGACGGGAAACATCAAATACTATAGTAAAACAAATAGAAAAATGCTGACATACAAAACATGAAAACAACTGAAGAACCGCCGTACAAGCCCAGGGGTATCGTGGGCTTGAACTGACAGTAGCATTGAAGAGCGAAGCCGATAGTGCTGTTGGCAATGAATAACGGCCTTTATGAGGCAGCAGCTGTTGCAATGAAATCGATATGACTAATCGATCGCTAGCGACTACGATGGAAACATAGCGTTTGAAAATATTGGAGCTACTGAGTAATTGGACTAATTTCATCTAAAACCGCTCAAATCATTTGATAAAGCTCAGAACTGATCTTTGTTTGAGCAGAAAAATATCACATTTTAGTAGAGCCACTATCGATTTTTTCTAGATCTATTAGTAACTGATTTTGGAGCCAATTAAGCTTGGAACATCTATAAATGGTCCGATGACGATTTAAACCAATTCCAAATTCCAGAAAAAAAATGCAAAATAAAAAAAAATAGAAAACTTTCAAGAGATAGAAGTCCTCAAAGACTGGCCCTGAAACAGTCGCATAACTCCTATAACGAGTTGATAGGCATTATCTGAACTTCTAGGCAGTAATCAGTAGTGAGATAAGATGCATATTGATCGATCGAGCATATTTACACACGGCTAGCGGGAACAAGACGGACGGACGGAACAGGCAGCGGCATGTTGTGCGGGGGCTGAGGTGGAAGAGGTCGATGGGCATACGACGACGAAAAGGGTCGGGCGCCCCGACAGATTATGAGGTCACCCAGTAATGGCATGCTGGTATGTATCCGACAACCGATGCCACATATTTTATTTGTTTTTCCCCGACTAAGGATTAAACGGCATGGTTGGGTGCTCGGATTTCCTAAGTAACCCCTAGTAGAGGCTTCAGTGGGCGGTCGTCAGTTAAACGCTCAAATTTTCAAGAAATTCAATCAAAATGGGGTAAAAGAAAAGACAGCTAAATTCGATGGAACAGGCACACCGTGACTTGACTGGTGGTGGTGTAAAGTCGGAAGAGGCTGCCAGCCGAGAATACACAGCGGGGGTGGGCGATGAACATTCGCTCATCCACAAAGCCCTTCAGGAGCCTAGCAGGGTTTATCGATTGAACGATCGGATACAGTTTAATAAAATAAAAAACATTTATTCTAAGATCAATACATAGTTAGACAGGGAAAAGTTTATCGATGAGAATGGTGGGGGAGGTGGAAAGAAGGTGGTCAAACTGAAGATGAGGATTCAGCCAAATTGTGTCGATGAGCTGAAGGATCTCGTTGGCTCGGGATGGTCGTGAGAACGAAGTGCAGTGGACTTGAAGCCAGTGCGTATAGATCGGAAGCAGAGGCGGAGCGAATGAAAGGGACGAGATCGCAGAGCCTGAAAGCAGAAGAAAGCTGGTGCCACATGCTCATCGCCCCGCTGCTAAGCTTTAAGGGGGTCTTTTTATGACGATTGGGAACTCACCCATTTTGCAAAGAAGAATACAGATTGAAAGACGAAACTCTTCTGCGTTCAGTTCTAGACGATAAGGAAGAGATGGATGCACCTGAAGTATGAACAAATCAAGCTGGCTCTCCAGAAGCTATAACACTCTTTTTCCATCCTTTACTGTTCCCCGAAACGAATCCGAGTAGAAATTCCTTATTTGCTAGAACTTTTAGGGACCAGGCCAGCAGATTTTGGCTAATTCTGGAGGTCTGACTTCCTGAAGTGGACCGACAGTTGAAAATGTCAGACCCATTGAGACAGTGACTCTCGTGAGGAAAACATGGTTCGACTCCTTCCTACTCCACCAATCACTTAAGACTCCTTTATGGCCCTTAAGGCCAACGAAGGTAAACGAAGACACCGCTAGATTCTCGATGGTCCATTCGAAGGCTTCGTCTCCAATCCCATCAAAAGTAATCCCTATTAAACTCCTGAACGACCACCTACAGAATGAAGCCTGAATGGGGTGAGGTAACTCGCGTTTTCGACAACTCTCATGGACGGTTTTCCTGCTTCTAGTTGCTTTCACAAATGCGATCTATAAGAAGCAAAATCAGTGCCTAGTGGGGATTCAACTCACCCAACCACACAATGAGTTTGGTCATTGGGTCTCGCTTACTGCCTTTCTTATTGCTGGAAAGGAACAACTTGAACTCGAACAGACACCCACTTTTGACCGCCCCTACATTGGGAAGGAACTATAGAAAAAATGGAAAAAGGAACCGTCGTACGTTTTTGCCGGGAAAGGGCAATTGTATTGGTTTCATGTATTCAATTCGCCGCACGCGGCAGCCGCGGATCAGTTGCCTCGTTTTGCGGTCCCAGCGTTTTTCATACAGTTCTATCGATGTCCTATTACTATTTTGACATGATTCTATTGTTACTTCTTTTGTTCGTGTATCTTTTACTCTCTGCGGTACTTACTTCATACCGCTGATTCCTTTGTACACGACGTCGCTCTCTCTCTCTGCGAAGTGACAATCCGATTCAACTGGGCCAAATATCGGCAGCTGTTGAGCGTGCCTCAATTAGTTAGTCATGAAACGCGCAGATCCTTCCTTTCGAGCTATCGATCCTACAGCATAGCGGCTATGCAGTGAGGGGTGTAATGAAATCCGCTTGAACTCTGCACGAGGTCGGAATACGAGCTTTATGAGGCTGACATTTGGGCAGCATTACCTCTCTCATAAACTGAAAGGATCAAAAACAATTCGTACCCGAGCAAACGTTTCTCCGGACTTACTGAAGTTTGCGACTCCGCTACTGAGACCCATGTAATCTGAAGACAGGCCACCTGCAGTAGCTCCGTGGAATCCTGGCCTGCCGATAGCTGGATCAGTGCCAGCTAGGGTGAAGCTGTGTGCTTAAGAGGTGTCTAGTCGGTTCTCAGACCTGCACATAAACACTCAATTTCCTTCAAGGGCAGTCGGTTTGGGTCAGAAAAAAACTCTGTCTTAGTGTGCGAATTTCATTTCCAACATCCAGCTCTCAACCGCCATTGGTCTGAACCACTGATGTACAGGGGGCACTTTAGATGCCTTCCGTTGGTAAATCCAAAAGTCTCAATTCTCTGAGAACCTCGATCACGAGTGATAAATGCTCCCATTAATTGAAATCATAACCACGGATCAGGCGATACATCACTGTTGCTGCCATGAAGTCATCTGTCACTGTCATACCCACAAAGCGACGGGCGTTCCAATTTCCACACCTCG